CGGTGTATTCTTTGTCCGTGGACCTTTGCTTGCACTGCAGTGTGGCACGGTGCATTCTTTGTCCGTGGACCTTTACTTGCAAGTGTTCGTTGCAGAGTCAGTGGTCTGATTCTGCTTCCTCTGGCTTCTGCTACACTGTCGACGCTGGGCCCCGCTGGAACTCCTCCTGAATGGTCTGTTATTACCCTGTGTTGAGGAAATCCTGCAGCTTTTGGGTCTGCAGAACTGCTTCCTTCACGTGCTCCCACAGATCATAAATGGGGTGGATACTGGGGTGAACCAAATCATAACCCTGGTCCAGGGCTTGGGTAGTTGCAGGGTTGGTCAGTCCTCCAGCCCCATCCCCACCCCGTCCTCACCACCAGGGTGAGCTCTCCAACATTATCCCAGCTAGTTCATCCTTTGCAGCAGTGAGCCAGGGGCAGAGCCAGCTCACCCACACCTATGCCAGCAGGGCCAGCTCTGCTGTGTTGACCAGGCAAGGTGCAGGGCCGCTCTCCTGAGTGCTGCAGCTGGTGAGGGGCAGGGATAGCGCTACTGGTCTTAGAGTCCCAGGATGGGCTCTCCCAACTGCCGTAGGCGGCAGCAGGGGGATCTCTCTTGCTTGCCTCCTGCTGTATGACTGATGAAGGGCAGGGCCTGATCTTCCAAGCACTGGTTCTTGGGTGGTTCACCCTAGAGCTGATCCTGTCAATATCAACAGAGTCAGCTCTACTGTGCCACTTAGGTGAGGCGCAGGGCTCATTTTCCCAAGTGCTGCAGCTGGTAAGGGGCATGGTCAGTTCCCATGGTGGGAAGGTGAGGTGAGGGCATCTTTCCCTCGCCAGCACATGGAAGATAAGGGGAGTGTGGCCAACTACCCCACTCCCATGCCCTCAGGGCCAGCTTACCCACACCCCTAACCCTGACAATAGGATCAGTTTTTGTGTGCTGCCCAGGTGAGGTGCAGGTTCCCCTTTCCTGCAGCAGCTGGTAAGGGAGAGGGTCAGTGCTCACCAGCAGGGGGCGAGGGACAAGGCTTCTTTGTATTCTTCAAAATGCTAATTAAGTCAGGTGGTGGTTGCACCTCCCTTTAATCCCAGCACTCGGGAGGCAGAGGCAGGCAGATCTCTGTGAGTGTGAGACCAGTCTGGTCTACGAGAGCTAGTTCCAGGACAGGTTCCGAAGCCACAGAGAAACCCTGTCTCAAAGGTAAAAGCTCGGGAACAACAACAGCAATGTCGCCCTCTTTTGGACTGTGGAGTGATGTTCTGTTGCCCTGGGTCCATTTCATCTTTCTAGAAGGCGAAGGGGTGGAGTGCCGTCAGAGTTGATGGACTGTCCACTCCTCCTGGGACCCCGAGGCAACTGGTTCTGGGACTCAGGCAGCATCTTTCCTCTTAGCAGGTTTTCCTGTTGTGGCTGAGAATTTCAAATCAGCTAGCACGCTGGCCAAACCCAGGTGCAGGACAGGTGAGATGCATAAGGCGAGGATAATATGCAGCCCTTGGGAGTGGCCCTCACATGTCTTCTGGGGATGTGGGGACCACCCAGATGCCAGGCACAGTGACTGCCATGTGGCCAGAAGTCACCCCAGCTCTGAGTTGCACAGGGAGGTCTTAGGATTGAGAGCAGCCTGGTGCTGTCTTCTTCAAATTCAGCCTGGTGCTGTGGGCCATGGCTCGGGAGCTCAGAATCTGGGATAGGTCCACAGGGCAAGCTTCCAGTGACCTGTTTGTTCTTTCCTTCTGGGCTGGCTTGAATCCATCTGTGAAAACAGCAGTTGGGGCAGAGTGGTGTTTCTTTTTTAAGCTTTTCTGAACACCCTGTTGAACTATTTGGAGAAGCAAGCTGTATGTTGCCTGTTCTCAGTGCCCTGACCTTCAACCCCTCTCTCTACGACATGTGAATCACTTCCATTTTTATTAAAACTTACTTTTGCAATTTCCGCAGCCTGGACAGAATGAGGGTGTGAGAAGGTCCAGGGTCTACAGGGAGCAGCAAGCACTGCACTTGCTGGCCCAGGCATCCGTTCGCTTTGTGGGCATGCTCTGGAGAGCTGCAGGGCCCTGGTGCAGCGGCATGAGCTTGCACCCATATGTGTGTACTTTTGTGCAGGGCCATGTGCCTGTTCCACCCACCACATGTGTTTACTGTACTTAAGTAAACACACACAGTGTACACGTGTTCCTTTCCCGACACCTCTCTTTGTCTTTGTCTGATTTGATGGCTTTCAAAGTTGTCAGTCAGTGTTCCAAACAGTTCTGTCTCTCACATGTTGGCTTCTGGAAAGGTGGCTGCTACAATCCACTGTCTCTGGCGTGGCTGTGTGCCGTCCATGCCTTGGTAAGGGTTGGGTCAGTTGTCGTGTCTCGGTACCAGAAAGAGACCTTCCTGTGTAATTGGCTGCTATTTAAAATCCCAGGCTGCTGGCAGCCATTTTCTTTCTCCTGATTGGTAGTTTTGAAGAAAAAGCTTGGAATAGGTAGCATCTGACCCACAGCCACTCTTCCTGCCAGTGGAAGCAGTGTCAGCCCCAGCTTTCCCTTCTCAGCTCTGCAACCCCAGTAAGTTCCAGAGTTCCATGGTGAAAGCAAAGCTGGGGACATGGGGCCTTCTGCCATGGCAGGCGCCAGGAATGAATGCAGGCTCCCCAGGGGGATGAAAGTCAAGTGCATCAGAACACAAGTTCATTTCATGACTTTTCGTAGACTTTAGGTTTGATTGGAATACACAGGCACCTGCCTGCAGCGGCCACCTCCTTCCCAATGGCATCAGAGTACAGCCCAGGACTAGCGAGGCCCCCAGCACAGCTGTCCTGTTCCCGTTACACCCACGACACTCTGTCTTTCCCGGTTCACAGTCTTTGTTTCCTGGGTGTGTAAGTAGGAAGCCTAGTTACCACCGGTCCTTCTAGAAGAAAACATATTTTCAGAGAAACTCAGGTGCAGGGAAGTGCAGTCCCAGGGAAACTTTCATATGAGTATTGCAGACAGACCTGTGTCTTGTGCACGTGGAGACAGTCTCATGGTGTGTAAGGCACAGCTGCCTTGCTGTGGGCGCTGGTGGGTAGTCAGGGTGGGACCCCCTGGATCAAGATCACAAGGTTCTGCTTTCCCAGTGACAGTGCCTTCTGTCCGCAGGCCGGTCCCAGCCGCAGCCCCGGGCACAGCGTGTGCATCATTGATGAGATTGGGAAGATGGAGCTGTTCAGCCAACCTTTCATTCAGGCGGTCCGCCAGACGCTGTCCACGCCAGGCACCGTTGTCCTTGGCACCATCCCAGTTCCCAAAGGGAAGCCACTGGCCCTTGTGGAGGAGATCAGGAACAGGCATGACGTGAAGGTGTTCAGTGTGAGTAAGCCAGCCCGTGGGAAACCCCTGCCCTGGGATCCCGTCCTTGCCCCTGCTGCCTTCCTCCAGTGGCGAAGTCAGGGCGGGGGGTTGAGGGGTTGCTTGGGAAGGTCTGTTCAGGGACGAGCCATGCCACGCAGGCCAGAGCCTAGCAGGTCACGTACTCAGTGGCAGAGTTCCAGCCCCAACTCCAGCTGAAAGATATATGCTTATAGGAAAATTAGTTACTCAAGTCTGGGCCTTGACTTCAGGATTGTCTCATTAAGAAAATAAAGTAAACCTGTAAAAAATGGGCACAGGTTTGAGTAGCTGTTTCTCCAAGGAGCATGAGGAAGCCACGGCAAACACACAGGAGACGTGCACCCCACCATGGTGACCACACCCAATAGGATGCCTTCCATGGCATAGTTAGATAGAGGTGGAAGGGTTTGGGAAAACCTGAGCCTCCCTACCCTGTTGGTGGGAAGGAGTTGAGCTGTCCCTGACAAACCTCTGGCTTCTCCAGGTGTATGTTAGTCATGATGCCAGCAAGTCCACTCCTAGGCAGCCACGGTGCCAGCAAGTCCACTCCTAGGCAGCCACGGTGCCAGCAAGTCCACTCCTAGGCAGCCACGGTGCCAGCAAGTCCACTCCTAGGTATCACGGTGCCAGCAAGTCCACTCCTAGGTATCACGGTGCCAGCAAGTCCACTCCTAGGTATCACGGTGCCAGCAAATCTACTCCTAGGCAGCCACGATGCCAGCAAGAGTACTCCTAGGCAGCCACGATGCCAGCAAGTCTACTCCTAGGCATGGACACGGAAGACTTGAAGACTCGTGATGCAAAGCTTGAACGATTGCCCATAGCAGCGTTATTTACACTGCTTTACAGAATGAGAGGACCCAGACGTCCACCAGCAGCTGAACGGCGCGGGGGTGGGGGTGGGGCGAACCTGTGATCCATCCATCTAGTGTGGGTGACTTAGCGAGACAAAGGGTACAGTGCATCCACGTTCCGAGGCCTGGATGAGTGCTGTATCGTGCTGAGTGAGAAGCCGGTCCCAGCAGGTCATGGGCTCTCTGACTCCATTTACAGACTGCCCAGAAGAGGCGAGTGCGTCGAAACAGGAGACAGGCGGTGACTGCTAGTGATGGGCAGGAAGGCGGGAAGGAGGTGGCCATGAATGCGGACCTTGTCTGCGACGAACTGTTCCCTTCTAACCCTTACAGGGTGAACTAACTTTCATGGCATTGGAACTGCATTTCAGCAAGGCAGTTTACACACACATGCACACAGAAGTCAAGGTCGTGGTGGCACCTTTTTCCTTTAAGACTCGACTACATCCCCTGTAAATGGTGCTGTCTGGTCCCCTTCCCACCCAGGTGCTGGTCTTGCTGCATGATAGCATGGCAGAAGACGTCATCTGCTGAGACATGGCAAGCGTGCCCACTCAGGTCTCCCTTCCTTTTCAAAGCTACCAATGCGGGGCTGGTGATGTCACTCTAGAGTTTGTACCCGGCATGCACAGTGTCTTGTGTTCTGTCCACAGCACCCTTATAAACAGGTGTTATGGCACATACCTGTAATCCCAGTACTCAAGAGTGGAGGCAGGAGGATCAGAAGTTTGAGTTCATCTTCAATTACATAGTGTTCAGGCCTAGCCCAGAATGTGTAACACCCCATGACAAAAACGTAAAATTAAAAAGGCCAACACTGCCATCATATGGGCCCTGCCCTCAGGACACCCTTTCAAAGCCCTTCTTCAAATACCTGTAACTCATGGGATTGCAGGAGATTAGGTTTCTGACACACGAACTTTTGGGGATGTGATAAAACCTAGAGTGGACAGGAACTTCTCCTCCTGACCACATGCTCACCGAAGCATCCAGGCACTGTTTCCTGCTCTCTTTGATTCTTGGCCTTCTTATGTCCCTTCCCATCACGGTCTGTGAGCTCCTAACCGTGGGGTCCTTATCCAGCACACAGCAGGTCAGGAGGCCTGTGTGAGACTCTGCTGCATCACCTTGTCTTCTCTGACTCCCCTCATCTCTCAGGAGAGCAGGAAGCTGAGGTCGGAGGTTCCTTGCAGCACCCAGGTTTCCAGGGTTATGTGAAGACAAGTAGATATCGCTGTCCTTGGGAGTAACCTGGAGCTGTGGGCCTCGCTGCTGCTGTGTGATGCTCTCCAGGGCTCAGGTCCAGCCCAAGTGTCTCCTTGCTTCTCTCCAGTCTGGCTGCAGGGGCGCGGCCCCACTCCCTCCTGTCGCCTTCCTGTGCCTCCACATGGGACTTGATGATCCCGAAGAGCCGGCCTCTGCCTCCATTCCCTGCTTTCAGGAAAATGTTGGTCCGAAGGACAGGAGGGAAGTGCTCTTTATGAATGCTCTCTTGCCTCTTCCCACAGGTCACTAAGGAGAACAGAAATAACCTCTTGCCGGAAATTGTGACCTGCGTGCAGAACAGCAGGACCTGAAGCAGCAGGAGACCAGGTCCAGCTCCGCCTGCTGGTCACTCCCTGCCCAGGTTTGCTACCTCCCTGTCGATGGACCTTGTACCCTCTGTCCAAGAGGGCTGGACAGCTGCTTTCCATAATATGCTCCTGAGATCAGATTAGCCCGGCGCCTGCTGGGCCATGCACAGCACAGTCCGCTGTCTGACGTGTGCTCAAGGGTTCTGTCTTTTTCCTGTTGCGGCTGTGCATGTGATTTGAGTAAAATCTAAATGAATGTGTCAGGGCTTAGTGGAATTTTCTCCCACCAGGATTTATGGATGTGTGTGGGGCTGGGGAGACGAGTTCCCTTCCTCATTGGCTTACATGCTGTAGGTATTAAATACCTCTCCAGGTGCGGCTCCAGGCCCGTGCAGCTGAAGCAGTGATAGCAACTTAATTCTCTTCCATAATCTCCAAAGAAAAACCTATTAGTTCCCCTCTTCATCTCTGTTTATTCCTTTGTTTATTGCCCAATAAAAATGAAAATAAATCTGGTGGTTCAGACACAGGAGTCCTGGTGTGGGAGGGCTGGTTTTCTGAGTGCTGGTGTTAGCTAATGCTCCATGGGCTAGACATGAGTAAAATCTCCTGTCTGTGCTCAGTTAGCCTGGGCACAGTTTTCTGCCACTCTGAGCCCAAGTGCCCTGGCAAGAAAGAAGGGGCGTGGCTGTCAGCAGAGAAGGGCTTGGGAAGCTGATTTGAGCTGCAGTCCCTACTGGCTGCAGGGGCTCCTTGGTGAGGAGGGGGGCCGCAGGCAGGGGCTCAGCCCACACTGGGCTCTGCAGTGCTAAGGGAATCAACTCTGGAAGCTGCTGGTCCATAAAGGCCAGAGGCTTCCCATCCCATGGCTGGTGGCACTGGAACTTTTAGGTCATTTAGATATTTTTTAGCAACAGCATCACTTACTGCACCCACTGATGAGTACCATCGGTCCCTTACTGGGACCGTGGACACCATAGGCCTGTCTTAATGGGGGGCTGTGAGCTGGCTACTAGGACCCAGTGGAGAGTACAGTAAGCTCTTGCTCCAAAGCCTGTGGCTGGGGAGGATCTCATGTCAAGCTTCCTTCCAGGGTAGTTTTCAAAGCTCAGCTTGCTCTTTCAAAGCAGGTCCTGGAGGGACCACTGCAGGAATGCCTTCTAGACCAGGAACTGAACCTCAGAAAGACCTGCCTGTCCAGGGGGAGAAGTGGGTGCCTCCCTCCACCATCTGTGCCCCATTAGGCTTTCCAAGGAGGCCAAAGATAGAGCTCACGGCCTTGGGCAGGCTGGCTGTGATGCCAGAAATGGGTACTAGGGCAGGTGGGAAACAGCATAGGTTTGGGCCATAGCATCAGGCTCTCTGGCCACCCAGGACCTGAATGTACCTAGCAAAAAGCTGCCGCACAGCTTGCTCCTTTCAGGGAGCCCTACTCAGACCTTTGAACCTAGCATGAAGGAAGCAGGAAAAATGGAGGTGGTGGTGGTGGCATACAGCATGCTCCTGCCAGCCTAGGGGAACCTCGTGTTGGCATCTCACTTGGCCCCTCTGGTGGTGTACACCTGTAACTGAATCATCCGGGAAGCAAGGGTAGGAGGATGGTGAGTTCCAGGTCAACCTGGGCTACTTACGGAAACATTGTCTCAAAAAATCAGTTTTGAAATCTCACAGCTGTGGTAGGGTAGGCAGGCTTAGACCCAAGTCTAAGTGGCATCAGAGCGTCTGCTTTGTCTATGCTTCCTTCTGTGTCTCCATCCAGGCTCTCTGTTGCCTCCCCCTCACACCAACACATCCTTCAGTGACGATTACTCTGGCAGATGAGGGTCAGGGAGCAGGCACACAGATTTCAGATGCACATCCTGGAACTCTAGGGAACATTGATGCAGGGGCACTGGGGTCTCTAATGGAGTTGGGTATGGAGCCTGACTTGAGGAATTCACGTTGAAAAGCCCATTGACGTGCATGTTGCTAACATGCATTTCAGCCAGAATGACATGGTACGACAGGGTGCCTGTTGCCTACATGCGTTTCAACCAGGGTAAGATGCTCTGACAGGATGACGGAGAACCAACTGGAGAAAGACTGTTGATGCCCTGGCTGTCTCTCCCTTAGCAGGTCACACCACCAGCCTCGTCACACCCATTGGTTTGAAAATCCTTTCTTGTCCCTGAGTGAAGGTACGCTCGTGTGGAGCCAGCATGACTTTTAAACAGGTAATAGAGAATCTTCCAGGCTCTCCTGGTAGACAGAGAGGCTTCCAGGAAAACTGCAAATTCGTGGAAGTTTCTGGGAACAGTGAGGTGACCCTGCCCTCCTCCCATCCAGACTGGGGTTCATAGAGAATGGGGTTGGCCTGTATGTCCCACCTGCTCATGCTGTAACCTGGGTTTGGGACCGAATGACGTCAAGTGGGAAAGGGCTACGTAAACAGGCTGTGCCACACACGGCAGAGGCAGAGACACCGGAGCAGCCACTGAATTTACACAAGTGTGTGCCAGACATGAACTCTGCAACACACGGCAGGGTTTAGAGTTGGTGCTTAATTAGTGACTATAGCCACAAAGCCGAGTGCTGCATTGTATTGTCTTTAGAAGAGCAATGCTTTTGTTCTGTGTCAAACGCATTGAGACAGATGTCAACAGAACATGTGACACCCCCACCCCCACCCCGCAGCAGGCAGTGCCATAGAGGCCTGTCTCTTATACCACCACCAGAATGAGGAAGGCTCTGGGGTGCAGAACTGGGAGGACTGGGCAACAAACAAGTCTACATAAAAATTTTATAATTTAAACCAGATATGTCCAAATCCCTCCCCTCAGGGCCTGGGGAACCCTGCAGAAGCAGCAGCAGCAGAAAGTATAAGAGCCAGAGGGCATGGAGGACACCAGGAAAAATAAGGCCCTTAAAGCAACGTGAGCAGATTTCTGTGGACGCACAGAGGCTGAGACAGCATTGCAAGGCCTGCACGGGTCTGCATCTGTCCTCTGCGTATATAATGTGGCTTAGTGTTTATATGAGATACCCAATTGTGTGAACGAACGGGCCTCTGATATTTGTGCCTTCTCTTGGGCTCTTCTGCTTTGTATAGTTCTGATGTGTTAGTTTTTGTTTTATCTCATATTTTATTTTATTATCCCTTAGAAACCTATTTGTTTCCTAACGATAGACAGAATGGATCTGAATGAGAGGCACAGTGGAGAGAACCTGGGAGGAGTAAAGGGAGGGGATTCAAGATACATTATGTGATAAAAAATGATATTCAATATAACAAAGCCCAGAGATGTAACTCAGTGGCCAGAGGCTTGCCTAGCATGCAGGAAGCCGTGGGCTCCATCTGCAGCATCACACAACTAGGCGTGGTGGTGCACACCTGTAATCCAAGTCGTCAGAAGGTGGAGGCAGCAGAATCAGAAGTTCATGGTCATCCTTGGCTACCTAGCAAGTCTGAGGTCTGCCTGGACCACCGTGAGACCCTATCTCCCTGCCCCACTGGAGACCCTATCTCCCTGCCCCCTCCCAATTACACAATAAACAAAAAGCTAGGAGCATATTCTTAGTATTACTGAACAGCTTCGAGGAGTCTGTCCTTGGTGGGGTTGCTGTGCATATCCACCCCTCAGCTTGTCCACCCAGTGCCTGTATTCCTCAGTGGGCAGGAGGCTGCACAGGGCACAGGTCCTGAGCCTGCCTGGGTGGGTGGCCTGGCATTCACCTACTGCAGCCACTCTTTCCTTACCAGCTGGCTTCCGGCCCCTTAGCTTCCCTTTCGTGGATGCCAAGCCGCAGCCAGCTGTGCTCCCAGGTGGTCGCTGCTGGCCACATGTTCCTCACCAACTTCCAGTAAGGCCGCACCCCCAGCTCAGAGCTGGCCACTTAATCCTGAAGGTTGGTAAGCGGCCCCAGGGGGTTTCAGGAGAGGCCAGCTGAGTTTGATTTAGTCAACCTGAGAACTGCAGCAGGTCACACCAGCTTCTCAGATACACAGCTGCATGGAACCCAGAAATACTGTTTCTAGAGATTCTGAAGAGGTGCCCTGTCTCTGTTGATAGACCCCACTGTTGTGGAACATTAGTTGAGGATGTGTTACATTTGTTTATACCGTGGAACGTTTGTTTAATGATACAAAGATGTGTTGCATTCTTTTATGTTACATTTGTTTAACTCTGTGAAGCTGTGTTACTTTGCCTGTCTCAAATACCTGATCAGTCTGATAAAGAACTGAACAGCCAGTCCTAAGGCAAGAGAAAGGGTAGGCGAGACTGGCAGGCAGAGAGGAAAAAATGGGAGGAGAAATCTGGAAAGATCAAAGAGCAAGAGAAGGAAAAGGAGGGAGGGCATCAGGGGCCAGCCACACAGCCAGAACAGAAGAAACGAAAACATATACAAAATAAAGATAAAAGCCCAGCGGCAAAAGAATAAGCCTCCGTGGATTTATTTGGGATCTGGGTGGTGGGTCCCCCTAAGAGTAAAGAGTAAAAACAACCAATCACACCCCACCTACTGCCATTAATTGCTAATTCCTTTTTATGCCTCTGTATGCACTCATGCTCGTCGGTGTCAGCATGGGTGTCGCCGTGCCTCAGTGCCTATGTTGAGGTCAGATGGCAGCCTCTGCTGTCCGTCTCCTGCCCTGGGACAGGATGTATTGTTCCGCCATTGCTAATTCTTAAACAACAGAAAGAGATACTGGAGAGATGGCTCAGTAGAGTGCTTACCCGGAAAGCATAGAGCCTGAGTTTGGTCCCAGCACCCACGTGAGGAAGGAGTGGCTGTGGCGGCGCACACTTGTGTCCAGCGCTGCAGAGGATACACCGGCCACCTTGGCTGACCTGTAAGCTCAGGACAGCAAGAGGCTCTGCCTCAAAGACCAAAGTGAAAAGCCCCTGAGGAATGATGTCTGAGGTTGACCTTAGGTCTCTACATACACGCATACACGTGCATCTGCACACACACACACACACACACACACACACACACACGCGCGCGCGCGCACACACGTGTGCGCACACAAACCATTACTGCCTACTTCCCAGTGGCGAGGGACTGCCGTTTCCATCCTTTGCAGCGCCCGTTTTCCAATCTTAGATTCTTTGGAGACTTCACTTTGCCTAAACCAAGTCCTTTTTACACTGCCATCCCAGAAGTCCAGGCAAAGCGAAGCAGATGAGTGGCGCCCCCTCTTCTCAGCAGGAGGTTGTAACTCTGCTCTGTCCTGAGGGGTAATCCGAGGTGGGATTTGTTTCCCTCCCCACAAAGGTCTTTCTTAGAGTAGAGAGGATGTGTTTAGGGAGGACGGTAGACAGACACAGCCAGAATTGTAAACATTTTAATCCCTAAAACAAAGGTGTGTGCAAATGTGCTCATATACAGGAGAGCTTGCTCAGCTTGGAAGACTAGCATGCATTCCTGGGAAGCACGCAGGGGTCCTGGGTGGCCCAGAACTTGAGGGAGGAGCATATCACCCCGAAACTCCCATCCTGGACCAGTGCACCATCAGGTTGTGGTGAATGGTTTGCACTTCCAACTGTGCAAGGGTCATAAAGGAGGAGGCTCTTTGCAATTGGGCCAAACCTGGATGCCTCTGGCCTGCTGATGGTCTCAGGGGCTGTGACTCAGTTCTCTCTCACGGTGACAGTGATGTGTAAAATGCCAATAATGTAGCATGCAGCTGTTCTATTACCAGAGCAGGAAGGAGCCAGTCATGGGCCCTACTCATTCTAGTTGTTTCAAGATATAACATGGCTTTTGTGAGTAATGTCCAACTCTTGTGCAGTGCTTGAGGGAGGAGGCGCAATGTCTTTTCCCGACTCCCACTAGGCGAGTGTTTCCAAGAACCTGAGATAAAGTTACTGTTTTCTAGAATGGCTCTTCTTTTCCCTCAGGAAGAACCATGTGGTTCCGGAGCAGGAGAGAGTCCCCATCTCTCCAACCAGAAATGTGTCCACTATTGCTCATCGGAGGCACTCTGCTGGGAAGCTGTGTCATCCAGGCCCATGTCCTCCTGGCTCGCTCTCCGGCAAAGCATCCCCAGGTTCTCTGCCACAGCCTCTGCCAGCCGTGGATCTGGAAGCTGCCCTTGCTCTGGGGTGTCAGTGGATTCACATGGCTCAGAGAAGTGCTTCAAAAAGGAGAGAAGCAAAGACAGTTCAGCCTATACTCACTGCCTGCATGGCCCAAGTCACCCCACCCATCCCTGACATCCTAGGAACTGAGGTCCGCGTAGCTGCAGGCTTCAAAGGCGGGCTCTTAAGCTGCACAGGATGGACAGGCAGCCTCTGAGGTTAGGATGTGCCACCAAGCTGCATGTCTACATGGCCTCTGAATGTGGGACTTTGTTCAGAAGAGCTGGACGTGCCAAAGGGAGCCCAAGGGAGTTGCCCCATGTTTGCCTGCCTGCCACCCTGAGAGCCCTGGTCGACCCTCTCCACCCAACCCTCCCTCCCTTGTGCTGATGCTGCCACTGCAGGCTCAGCCCAGCAGTTACACAGGAACCTTTGGATTCTGGATGCTCAGAGTCCTGAAGACCTACCATCCTTGCTAGAGACAGAAAAGGAAAATTTGCCAGAACCCTTGAAGTATGCCCATAGAGTTTAGACAGATGGGACGGGAAAGGAATGAGAGTCATGCCCTTTTATTGAAGGAGAAAACAAAACAATTAAGTGATGGTTTTATCCTGAAGTTATATTCCAGTATTTTCTCTTTGGCCTGGAAACACAAATCTGCCCAAATTTTGCCTTAACCCATTGTTTTTTTTTTTTGTTTTGTTTTGTTTTGTTTTGTTTTTCTTTCCTAACAGAGGGAGGGCATATGAGAATTCCTGAGTGGCTGCCTATCTTTCTCTTTCTCACGAATGAATCCCAGCTAGTCTTCTATGTCAGTGGCGTGAATTCTGTTAGACTCTTTTTAAACTCTGTTTCTGGGATGGACCCACTTGGAAGTGGTTGGTCATCTTTAAAACTGGGAGTCCATGGCAGTTTAACTCCAGTGCCTACTCTTGTCCTTTCTTCTCCCTCAGGCCAGATGGAAAAGAAGGAATCCTGCTTCCATAGAGAGGGCGAGGGGAGGCTTCTCCCCATTCCTGGGCTTCTGGATTATGGAAATAATTATGTTGGGGTACCTGTGGGACTTGTGACCCAAAGGCTAGGGATACTCTTTGTTTGGTATAAATCAACCTACCCTGGAAGAAGGCAAAAGTGTTTGACAGGTGGATGGGATCCCCAGGCCCTCTGATGCCTCCTGCCTGTCTCCCACGCTGGGGCAGTCCTTACCCGAGCAGCATGGCTAGCGGCCCTCGCGGAAGGACCCATCACAATGTTGACGCTGCTGGATGACTGGGTGTCGCTGGTGTTGCCTCCCTCTGCAGCCGAGAGTCCAGAGATGACAAGCGCGCTGGAGAAACTCCTTTTGCCAAAGAGGAAGCTGAGAGTAGAGCTGGTTGAAGAGCCCAGGCTAGACCGAATGAGTGCCTCAGCCCGCTCCCGGACACTCAGGTGACCCGTGGTGGTGACGGGAGGTGGTTGCGAGTGCAGGGACGCAGCCGAGTTGTGCAAGGAAAGCCGGCTTCCTGAAGGCCTCTGGGCCAGCTCGTGCACAGAGCTGGACGTCTGAAGGAAGGCTTGGTGGCTCTCTACAATGGGACCTGAGGAGCTCAGAGTAGGTGGCCTCTGGCTTATTGCCGAGTGTGCCAGGACAGACTGGCTTCTGCCCTTCCTTCTGCCTGTAAGAGAGCAGAGTACCTGGTCGAACCCTGGAAGAAGTACTTTATAAATATAGGGGTAGGGTGGTCTCTTCCCATTGTGATCCATCAGTGAGGTCAACACCCTCTTGAACCAATCCCTCCTTACAGCCGCATCTTGGGATGGTGGGCTTAGCTCCTCTATGCCAGTTCCCATGACTGAGCTTACCTCCCTTGACTGTCCCACCCTGGCTTCGCATTTGGGGCCACAGCTTCAAGACATGAACTTCTGAAAACATTTCCAATACAAATAATCAGAATGCTTTTATGTGTGTAATTTAATTTTGGGAGACCACAGAAGCAATGTAGGTACATCACAAGACCTTATTCAATTATTTTAAATATATCTTTTAATTATTGTGTTCAGTGGAATGTTTTTCTGTGTATGTGTATCCTCTTTCTTTCTCTCTCTCTCTCTCTCTCTCTCCCTCCCTCGGTGTGTGTGTGTTTGCACAAGCACTTCAGTGCTGTGCCCTAGGAGACCAAAAGTGTCAGATGCCCTGGAGCTGAACCTAGAGGCAGTTGTAAGCTACCTGATGTAGGAATGAAACTCTGGTCCTCTGTGAAAGCAGTACGTGCCCTTAACCACCAAGCTATCTGTCTTAGGGTTTCTATTGCTGTGAAGACACACCATGGCCACAGCAGCTCTTGTAAAGGAAAACATTTAATTGGAGTGGCTCACAGCTTCAGAGGTTCAGTCCATTATCTTCATGTCAGGACATGGCAGTGTGCAGGCAGACATGGTGCTGGAGAAGGAGCTGAGAGCGCTACATCTTGACCCACGGGCAACAGGAAGCAAACTAAGCATAGCTTGAACATAGGAGACTTCAAAGGCCACCTCCACAGTGACACACTTCCTCCAACAAGGCCACACCTACTCTCACAAAGCCACACCTCCCAATAGGGCCACTCCCTATAAGCTTATGGGGCCAATTACATTCAAACTACCACATCATTCCTCCGGATTAATGAAATCTTTTTAATGTTGTATGTGGCCGTTGTCCTTAGCTGTCCAGGAAACCAATACCAAACCAAGGGAGGGAAATGCTTGCTGGGGCTCAATAATACAATAAGACAGTTGGGTAGCATCTCAAAGCAATAGACAGAAGAGTCTAAAGTCTAACATTGAAATGACAGACTTGGGAGGGGCAGCACATACCAGTTATCCTGAGTTGATCACTTCCCAAAGTAGGCACACATCAGAGTTTCACTCTGTACCTCATTAATATGGGGCAATTAAGAAATAAAACATTTTTAGATCTTAAACACAGAGCATTATTGCCACAGGTGGCCACATATACCAATATCTCTGTGGTGTGTGGGTACCTGCTCTGTCTGTGCCCAAGAAAGCCAAGTCCTCCCAGAGAGACTGGAACTGGGTGGAGGCTGGCTGTACAACCTAGGCCCCTCACTGACATAACTTTGGACACAGTCATGGTGGTGTGCTCGTTCCCAAAGGGCTTTCATTAGTGATCTTCATGGGTTTCCTCTACTTATAGGTTGTGAAAATGGGAGTCTCAGATTGAGGCGCTGCGTGATGTACCCAGAACTGGTTCTGGCCTCTCTAGACTGAGTGAGGGGCCTGCAGCATCTCTGTCTTGGGCACAGGGGAATGAATAGCCTTGGGCTTGAAGGTTCCTGTTAAGAAGTCAGTCAGATATAAGGGGGAAAAGACCCCGAAGGAATCAACATTATGAGCAAGGGTAGTGGCTTGTTTATTTGGAATCTGAAAAGGCCAAACTTCTGTGATTTCTAAAGCTAATCTCTGTCCCAAACCCTCCGCAGCCAACCACCCACAAGTCTGTTCTCTGCCTGCACTAGGCAGGGCCTTCTGCCGATCCCAAGAACAAAGGGAGAGGGGCTACAGAACATCAAAAGGGAGCTAGCTGTCCAGAATCCGTGCAAGACAAGGGACCGCCCCAGTGCTGAAGCTTCAGCCAGTCTCTGTGTGCGCATGCGTGTGCACACGTGTGTGCCTCTGTGTGTGGAGGCCAGAGGCTGACGTTAGGTGTCATCCTCTATTGCTCTCTATTCTGTGTGTTCTGATCATGCTTCCTCACTGAACCTGGAGCTGCAAAGGAAGCTGTGAGCCCCAGGGAGTGCTGGGATGACGGGCTGCTGATGCGCACAGCTTTTACGTGGGTGCTGAGGATCTGAACTCAGGTCCCCGGGCTTGTGCAGCGAGCGTTGTTCAGACTGAGCCGTCTCCTCTTTACACCTCAGATATTCTATTCTTTCAGGATTCTGTTGCTCCTTTTTTTTTTCAATTTTAATTTTACAAATTAAACAGCAGCAAGCAAGCTGTGCTGAAATCATCTGTGCTGCTCAGTCTCATTAATTTACAATTAACTTATTTTTTCCAACGACCGCATTATCAAATCTGAGCATTTCTAGGGAAAACCTTCAGACCTGGATGGAAACATAATGAAATTTATGCTCCTTGATTCATTATTTTTTCTTTGTCTTTGATCGCTAGCTGGATTGCTAGGTTGTGGTGTGAGTCCTTAGTGATATAAGATAGCAACCCTTCTCTCTGGTGTGGGATTCAGACCAGTGATGGGCTTCTATCCACCTGTGTAAGTAGGTCACCAGCTCACTCCTAGGCCAGCTCTCCTTGCTGTGACATTTACTGTTTGGTACTGAGATGACTGTGGGTTGTTGGGAGCTTTGTGAAGTTGGCACGTGGAGCTCCTGGCAATGGGTATGAGTGTGAAATACCCAGCAAGCCAGCAGTGGCTGCTCAGTGTGGTGGCCTGGGGTGGCCTGCTTCTTAGGACTCTGGACAGACACCGGGCCTCTGGGATTCTGGCAAAGTATCAGAACTGGAATGAATGACAGGAACCAGGCAAGGAGCAAAGACAGGGTGGGGCAGGCATGGGGGATGAGCTCAGTCATGGGAAGTAGTACACGGGAGGGAGCCCTGCCAATCAGGAGTGGGGCACACTCACTACTGCTGAGTGACTCCCTTTATTCGCCCTTCCCGCAGGTAGGTCCCCTACCCTTGAGTGACCTCGTGCCTACCTATCACATGACAACTAGCTCTTGTGGTTTGCATGGCAACTGCCTCCCCTAAGCTCATGTGTGACATCCAGGTGGCTGCGCTGTCTTAGGAGACTGTGAAACCTTTGGGCGCTGGCGCCTTCTGGGAAGAAGTGTGTCATTGTAGTCCCGCCATGCTTCCTTCTGCGCACAGCCTGCTACAGGGCTGACCAAATGCAGAATTCCATCTGCAGGCTGAGCCTGCATCAGCCGCCATGCCTTCCCCACCATAATGGACTCTATCCAGAGTTAGTCACGTAGGCTGCTCTGTGAAGACCATGAACTTGTGACATGGGGGTGACAAAGAGAGCCATAGCCAGCAGCTCTCCTTTCTTTGAACGGGAGGGGAATGTCTCCTCTCTTCTCCCAGGCTGCTGGGCACGGGCTCTGCTTGGGTGTCTTGCTCAGGTGCCGTGCCTGCTCCCTTGGCACATCGTTTTGTTAGGATAGGGAGGGGTCTGGGCTATCTACTGTGTTCCTGTCTCCGTTCCTGCCCGCAGTAGGGAAAGGGCTGCCTCAGAAGGAATATAGCATCAGCTCTACCCACCAGAAGGAAGATCACTGGAAAGTGGGGCCCTTGCCAGCCAGGGGACAGGACGAGGCTGAGGCCAGTAGCGATGTAGTCAGAGGTACAGAAGGAGGGCTGGGAGTGTGCAAGTGTCCTGAGGTTCACTGCTCTCGGGATAGGACCGGGTCGCAGCTGAAGGGAGGTCACAGTGAGTAGATCAGAGGCTCACGGGCTGTGCTTCCTCATCTGAATACCAGGCTGGCTGCTTACTAACTGGGTACCTTGGGGCAATGCCTTTTTTGTGCTCCTGTGTCTCCATGTGGGAAGGGAAGACGGAGCACCCCAAAGGGCCTAGAGTCACGGAGAGTGTAAAGGAGCCTGTGTAAGTACAGCCTTCATGGGATGCCCCAAGAGCAACAGTGTACAAACAGCCTTGGCAACAGGAGCATTGGTCACACAGGATGTGGCATGAACCAGGAAGCACTACAAGCTAGGTCAGGGCCAGGAGACCCTCAGCCCAGGACGGATTAGGTTCAGGGGCTGGGAGCCCAGGCACTGAGGTATTTTGCCAGCATGCCTCCTTCACTTAGAAGTTCAGAGCTAGGCTAGACTTGGTAGAAGAATTTTAAGAAGCAATAATGAAAAACCAAGGCCTGGTTTAGCTTTCCAAATATCTTGCACCAACACAGGCCCTCGGCGTCCCTGTACCTCCCACCTGAGGGTCCGGCGATAAGTGCCAGGGACTCCACTGCCACAGCCTGGGTCTCCAGCAAAGCATGATCTGAATTCCTGGCCTCCCGCTCTGCTCTGACCGGGGTACTGCCCCACAGAAGGCGCTCACCAGGACGGGGCCTGCCGGGCCTCTGGCACACTCTGACCCCTCTAGCCTCACTCTGGCTGGATCTGTCAGCAGCAAGGACAGGAAAGAGCAGGTGCTCACATCCTCTCCCATCTGGAAGGTCACCTGCGTGTCCTTGAAGCATGTTTAGTCCATCATATCAGAGGCTAGGGGAGCAATGAGGACCACAGGCCTCAGGTGCTATGCTGGGCTGAGGCGGGCAGTAGCTGGCGGGTGGGTGGGTGGGTGGAGCTGGGTTCGCTTCTGAGCAGCTGGCTGCAGTCCCTTGCACTTCCGCCTTCTACCCACCTCTGCTCACCTGCTTCTCTCTGTGCTCTCAATCACCCACCTACTCATCTTCCTGCTATCGATCGTCTGCCTCCTCTCTGTAGTCCCCACCTCACTTTCCTCATTTGTACGCCTATTATGTATCTGTCTGTCTGTTTGTCTATCTGTCTATCTATCTATCTATCTATCTGTCTATCTATCTACATCTATCATCTATTTCTATTTATAAATGTAGCTATTACCTATCATCTCTCTATATATACACATATATAACATATATGTGTGTAAATATAAAATTTCCTTAGCTATCTAATATATTCTGATCGTCTATTGACGTATATACCATCTAGATTATCTATGATCTGTAATATTTATCTATCTACCTGCTACCATGGCAACTATCTCAATCTAAGTATTTATCATCTATCTATCTATCTGCCTGCCTGCCTGCTTATCTATCTGTCTGTCTATCTATCTATCTATCTATCTAATCATCTATTACCATTATATATTTACCTACTATCTGTTATCTACCTATTATTGTGACAATCATATATCTATGATCTTCCCAATCATCTGTCTATCATCTATTATCTATCCATCAATTATTTAATGAATTATCTATTCATGATTCAGTCACCACCCTACCCCCAGTGAACCAGTCACATTGATATAATCTTGCATTTTGTCTCCCTAACCCCACCTTGCTCCGGAGGTAGGCACTGCCCTCCCGGCCCCTCTGGTGCGGAACCGCAGGGGAAGCATGCTCACAGGTGCTTATTAAATGCTTTCAGAAGCTAAAGAAAGAGAAGCTGAGGGCAAAGGACAGAAACACTGGCAGGAGGCCCAGGGCAGAGCCATGGAGCATCAGCAACCAGGCCAGAGCCTTTGTCTCTCCAGGCTGTGTCTTCTGTGAGCCCTTGTCCCCCCATTTCCTGGCCAACAGCAGAGCCTTGTCCATCTGGTATAGTGTATTTCATGGTTAGGAGAAGTAGGGTTTTAAGGTTTAGATTCAGCTCATCCCTTCCTCTGCTTACTCTGTGTGTATCCTTCCACCCGCATTCTCTCTGCCTTGCAATGCTGTCACAGAGCGTGTGGGAAGAAGCAGAGGGCAGCCTCCTGACAGAGAAGGACAACACAGAGGTCTGTGGCTACAACGTGACACACCCAGGATGCCTATGGTGGAACAGCACTGAGAGGGACAGACAGACGGAACAGAGTATCGGACAGTCAGGAAGACATACATCAAATGACTGCCAAAGGTAAAGAACCCACGGATAGATGAATGGGCAGAGCTGGACCCAGCCAGCCGGAGGGTATGACGAGTAAATCTCTTCCAGCGCCACAGCCACTGCTGACCCTAAGTTCCTTGATGGCAGCCAAGAGGCCCTGGAGATTAGAAAGTACATTCTGTGATATTGGACCTACAGCCCTGGGCACACTCACCTGTCCTGTGACCCCCTCCACGGGGTGAGGCCCATTGCTGGGTGCCTCCTTTCCTGGGTTGTTCTGAGCTGCTGTCCCGGCTTTCTCCATTGGGGGCATTCCCGCCACCTGCTGCTGGTCCTGCTCCACCATCCACATCTTCAATGTTGCCACCGCTCCTCTGGCCCACACTGCAGTCCTTTCTCATCCTGTGGGAGGGACAGGAACGTCAGGGTCTCATGCACACATCTCTCGTACAATCCCAGGCCACACAGTGACATCAGTTAAGGACAGTGATCGCATAAGATGGTGTCACCACGTGGTGTGTAGCTGGCTGGCTTTGCACAGCTCTGGTTCTGCAGGTTGGATTCCCATAGCAAGTGCCACCTAACTTACCCTGCCTATCCCCGCTAGCCATGAATGAACTGGGTGGAAGGGCACTCCCTCCAGGGGGACAGCGCCCCGGGAGTGCACGTGAGAAAGGGGCTCATTGTCTAATAAGCAAATAAGCATGCCAGGATGAGGAAGCATCAGGCCGAACCTTCCATGGGAACCCATCAGGAGTGCTACCATGCCCAAGTGATGCTCAGAATACCCCAGCAACCAGAGACTCCTTACTGCAGAAGGCAGAAGGCAACACTGAGTGACAGGCCTGAAGGTTCAGGCCTGCTTCTCTCTGCAGCCAGCGACAGCTGCGCTTGCTGGGCAGTGCAAGCCTGAGGACCTGAAGACAGCCTGCGGAGCCCATGTCTAAACACCGGGTACGGTGGTGTGCACGTGCGGTCTCAGTGCTGGAGAGGTGGAGGTGGGCAGGTCCCTGGAGTTCACGGGGCAGCCGGTCTAGCCTAATTGGTGGGTTCAGGGCCAGTGAGAGGCCTTGTCTTAGATGCTGGCAAGATGGAAAGAAGGGATTCTACAAAGTTGTCTTCTCCTTTTCACATGTGTGGGTATTCCTCAACTCTCTCTCTCTCTCTCTCTCTCTCTC